TTTGTGTAGCAGAGTAGCCAGTGGTGTTGCTTAGTGGTGATGTTATTACAGGATATTTATCCCTGGTTTGATAGAACTTCTAGCAAAAATCAGAAGACAACTTTGATTCTAGGTTTAAAATATACTTAAAGCTTGTTCTTGGCCTGAAAGAAAGACAATATCAAATTGTACATCAGGCTCCAAGCTAAATAAAGAAAAAAAATTTGTTCTTGTTGGGTTAGTTTTTGGTGGTGACTAAAAGTAGGGCCCAGCTGGAATGGAATAGGGACAAGAAAAGTAAAGGTAGTGACAGACAGAAAGGTAAAAGAACCAAGAAGTGAGGAAATTCTTGTGTTCCTAGAGCCAAGTGGTATTCATGTGTACATAATGAGTGATATGTTTGATTATACAGGAAACTTTATGAAGATGGCATATAATATTATACATTTGTTGAATATTTAAATTATTTTTTTCTGGCTTTTCTCTTTGTGTAATGGGATCTCTCTATTTCTTTGAATTGGAGCTTCTACAGAAATTCTGTGATGTTAAGAAATTATAGTCCTAGCTGGTTTGGCTTAGTAGATAGAGCGTCAGCCTGTGGACCAAAGGGTCCTGGGTTCGATCCTAGTCAAGGGCATGTACCTTGGGTGCAGGCTTCTCCCTGGCCCAGGCCCTGGTCGGGGTGCATACAGGAGGCAACCCATCAATGTGTTTCTCTCACATCGATGTTTCTGTCTTTCCCTCTCTTCTACTTGTCCCAAAAATCAATGGAAAAATATCATTGGATGAAGATTAAGAAAACAAAAAACAAAACAAAAGAAATTATAAATACTAGATGAGTGGATAAATAAGCTGTGGTACATTTACTCAATGGAATACTTCTCTGCTGTAAAAAGGAAGAAAATATTACCCTTTGTGACAGCATGGATGAACCTGGAGAACATTATGCTAAGTGAAATAAGCCAGTCAGAGAAAGACAAATACCATACAATTTCACTCATGTGGAATTTAATGAACGACTACCAAGCAAAATAGAGACAGACTCATAGATAGCAGGCAGATGGCTTGTGTGTTGGGGGAGGGATGGGCAGATGGAGGGATTGAGCAAAAACGAAAAAAAGAACTCATGGACACAGATAATAGTGTGGTAATTGGGGGGGATGGGTAGAGGTGGTAGAGGGCATAGAGGCAATAAAAGGTGATGGAAAAATTTTAAAAAAGAAATTACAAATACTTCCTGAATGCAGGACATCCTAATATATAAAAAACCAGGGGTGGTCACAACTGAAACAACCACATGGACGACCAAACAGCAGGCTGCGTGGGGCAACCAGGCTGGCAGGGGGGGCAGTGAGGGACAACCAAATGACTAAACAGCAGGCTGCATGGGGTGACCAGGTCGGCAGGGGGGGCAGTGAGGGGCGCCAAGGCTGGCAGGGAGAGGCAGTTAGGGGCGACCAGGTTGGCGGGGGTGGGCAGTTGGGGATGACCAGTCTGGTGGGGAAGGGCACTTGGGGGTGACCAGGCCTGCAGGGGGGGCAGTTAGGATAAATTTGATGGGTCTCGGCATGGTGGGAGGGAGCTCTGGGCTCCGGCTGGGGCGCAGTGGAACTCTGGGTCTCATGCAATCGGGGGCGTGGCTGGCCTTCAAACTGGACCCTGATAGGAGGGAGGAGGGAGCCCCATTTCTTGCAGAATCAGCCATTGGTCAGGTTGCTGTCAGTGGCCTGCCAGCCAGGAATCCCATTCACCTGCACCACAGACGCTGACAGGAGGGAGGAGGGAGCCCCATTCCTTGCAGATTCAGCCGTTGGTCAGCTTGCTGTCAGTGGCCTGCCAACCAAGAATCCCATTCCCCTGCACCTTGGACCCTAAAATATTTCTTCTAATTAATTACCTTTTAATGTGCATGAATTTCATGCACCAGGCCACTAGTCCTATATAATAAAAGGCTAATGTGCAAATTGACCGAATGGCAGAACAACCAGTCTCTATGACGTGCACTGACCACCAGGGGGCAGAAACTCAGTGCAAGAGCTGCCTCCTGGTGGTCATTGTGCTCCCACAGGGGGAGGGCCACTCAGCCAGAAGACCAGAAGCTGGGCTCACAGATGGCGAGTGCAACAATAGTAGTGGGAGCCTCTCCCGCTTTGTGGCAGCGCTAAGGATGCCTGATTGACATAGGGAGTGGGCCTAAGCCATCAGTTGGACATCTCCCGGGGGCTCCCAGACTACAAGGGGGCACAGGCCGGGCTGAGGGACACCCCCGCCCCCCCAAGTACACAAATTTTGTGCACCGGGCCTCTAGTTTTATAATAAGCTTGTGTGTATCCTTAAGCAGTATGTAGTCAGGAAAGGAGGATTTCACTTTGGGATAGCTCTCCATTTTATTTCTTAAACTAGGGGCCAGGTGCACGAAATTCGTGCACTGGGTGTGTGTGGGGGGGGTGGGGAGTGTGTCCCTCAGCCCAGCCTGCCCCCTCTCACATACTGGGAGCCCTCCAGCGTTGACCCCCATCACCCTCCAATCGCAGGATCGGCCCCTC